AAAATAAATATAGAAATGTGAATATAACAAAATTATCAAAAGTTAAGATGAATTATGTCAGGAGAATGCCTTTTTAATTCTATTATATTTTATTTCTTTTAGGGGTGTAAAATTTTTTTTATATATTTTATGTGAACACCAACCCCACCTTCACACTACTTTTTTACTTTTTAAATTAATTAGTAACTAATTATAAAAAATTAATTTATAAATAAATTATTTTAATTTAATTTTTATTATTTTTTAATTTATAATGTATTATTATTTCAAAAACATAAAATTCTAATTTCAATAATAATTAAAATAAAATTTTTTTAAATTATTTTCTTTAATATAGACCATTCTTTTACAAATAAAAATATGTGCTGCCATGATCAATATGATGTCAAAAAATTAGAAGAAAGACCAATTGATTTTTTTCCATTTGTTTCACTTTTTAATTCAGATAATGATAGTTTCCCCGATATTGGAGAAGGATGTACCAAAGCTTGTAAAGAAAAAATGATAAAGCTTTCACGTTTAGTCCTAACAAACTATATGAATGCTTTGTCCTGGTACTACCACGATGTTAAAATTGGCACTGATTACGAATATTCGGGTCATTCATCCTATATTTGTTTTATTATTGATGGATATAAATATGATCCAGAATATTTCGATTATACATTAGAAATAAAAGATAACCAAATTCCAGATTATGAAAAAGTTCAACAAGAAAAAAATAAAGATAAAAAATAAATAAAAACCATTATTTTTCATCCAATAAAGTAAAAAGTTATATTTTCCTTTTTTATAATTTAATTTTCTACATATATGTTCAAATTTATACAATAATTGGGAGTGGAAAATTAAAATCATCAATGTAGATGGGAAAGATTGAGAACACCAAATAAATTAAAAAACAATAAACAAATTTAGAAAATTAAAAAAATATAGTAAAAGTAGTGTGTATGTGTTGTTGATATAGAAAATAAAAAAGTTAAATAATTTCAAAAAATAGAAATACATGTGGTTAGTTTTTTTATTATATATTTTTTTTTGAACACCAACCCCACTTTCTCCATTACACATTTTTATATTTAAATATTTTAACACACATACCAGCCATAATAATTAACAAAAATATTAATTTTATAAATTTAATTTAATTTAATTTTTTTATAAAAATAAATTTTAATTCAAAAACAAAAAATATTTTTAAAAATAATTTTTAATTGTTTTATTTTTGAACCTACTTTTTTTAATTAATACCCATTCTTTTAAATATAAAAATGTGCTGCCATGATCAATATGATGTCAAAAAATTAGAAGAAAGACCAATTGATTTTTTTTATCCATTTGTTTCACTTTTTAGTACAAATAATGATAGTTTCCCCGATATTGGAGAAGGATGTACCGAAGCTTGTAAAGAAAAAATGATCAAGCTTTCACGTTTAGTCCTAACAAACTATATGAATGCTTTGTCCTGGTACTACCATGATGTAAAAATTGGCACTGATTACGAATATTCGGGTCATTCATCCTATATTAGTTTTATTATTAATGGATATAAATATGGTCCAGAATATTTCGATCATACATTAGAAATAAAAGATAACCAAATTCCAGATTATGAAAAAGTTCAACAAGAAAAAAACAAAGATAAAAAAAATAAATAAAAACCATTATTTTTCCTCCAGTAAAAGTAAAAAGCTATATTTTCTTTTTTTTATAATTTTATTTTTATTTATGGATTCATACCATTAAAAACTTTTATTTTTTATAAAACCAGAAAGATCTCAATTTTTTTAAAAAAAATTAAACAACAATAATAGTGATATGTATTTTTAGCCAACATAACCTTTAAACCGCTCCTATAATATTTAAAAATGAATATATTATAATATAATTTAATAATTGATAGTTTACTTTAGATAATAAATATTATTTGGAAAGGTACAAATATTTTAGCAAAGAGTGTTAGAAGATCTATTTTAGTATCAAAAGCATTATCATACAGATTTTATAAAGATGAATTAATTGATGAATGGATATAGGTTATTCACTTGCCCATCAAAACGAAACAATTCAATATTATCAGTTAATAGTTTAAATGGAATAGATTTAAATGTTAAACCAAAACGAAACAATTCAAAAAAAAAATAACAGTTGCAAATATTATTAAATTACAAAATATTTGGGTTAAATAATTTCAAAAATATTGAACATATTAATATATAAATACTATTCTATTTTTTATTTATTTATGAATTAATGGATGTGGTTAATTTTTTTTGTGTTTTTTATATAAATTTAATTTTTTTGTATTTTTTTTTTTGAACACACACACACACTACTTTTACTATTCCCATTTATTTAATTTATTTTTTAATTTTTTTATAAAAATTATAATTTCAAAAACTTAAAGTAATATTCCCTAATTTTTTTTATTTTTTTTATTTTTTAAAAAAATTATTTTAATTATTTTCTTTTTTAATATAAACCCATTCTTTTACTTATAAATATGTGCTGCCATGATCAATATGATGTCAAAAAATTAGAAGAAAGACCAATTGGTTTTTTTCCATATACTGAACTTTTTAGTGCAAATAATGATAGTTTCCCCGATATTGGAGAAGGATGTACCGAAGCTTGTAAAGAAAAAATGATCAAACTTTCACGTTTAGTTCTAACAAACTATATGAATGCTTTGTCCTGGTACTACCATGATGTAAAAATTGGCACTGATTACGAATATTCGGATCATTCAACCTATTTTGGTTATATTTTTGATGGAATTAAATATGAACAAGAATATTTTGATTATACATTAGAAATAAAAGATAACCAAATTCCAGATTATGAAAAAGTTCAACAAGAAAAAAATAAAGATAAAAAATAAATAAAAACCATTATTTTTCCTTCAGTAAAAGTAAAAAATTATATTTTCTTTTTTTTATAATTTATTTTCTTCATATTTTACCCTCATTACCTATGGATTAATACTTTCGGAGACGAAAATGGGGGAGTCATTAATTAATAATAATTATTTTAATGTATCAAAAAAGAAAAGTTTCAAAAAAAAATTTTTTTAAAAAGCTTATAATTTGAATTAACTGCATAATATTTATAAAAAGTAATTTTAGTTTTTAGTAAAAAAAAAAAAGAAATATAGTTTTTGGTGATAAAAATTAAGTTTGAATTATTTATTTGTTTATTTACATTGTTTATCAAATATTTTTGATAATAAATTGCTATTTAAAACTCTAATTACAGGTAATAAAGTATTGAATAATTCAATATTTTCTAAAATAGTTTGATTACCACTAAAAAGATATATTGTTTTTAAAGTTTTTGGAAGAGGTAGTTGAATTTTGGTTTTAAATCCCCAAATGATAAGAGTTTCGATTTCTGGTGGTAGATTATTTTCTGTTAAGGTTTGAGTACAATCATAACCAAATTCTAAAAGTTTGATTGATTGACTAAAATGAGAACTTTCCAATGGTATATCATAACCTTTAATTGATAAGTTCTTTAAACCTGATGGAAGAGCATCTTTTTCAAAGGGAATATTCTGATTGGGGCTTAGTACTAAAGTTGTTAAACTATCTGGGAGACTATTTGGTAAAATTGGCATTTTATATTCAAATGAAAATATGAGGGTGTGTAATTGATAACAATGTTGAAGTGTTCTAGTAAATAATTGGGAACTTAGTGCTTCGAATTTTAAAAATTCTATTTGTTTTGGGATTTCAAATTCTTGTAACGTTTTATGATGGGGAATGAAAACTGAGAGTTCTTTTAAATTTGTAATGCTATGTAATAATGATAACTGGTCTCTGTATGACTGATTTGACTCCTCCAATATTGTAAAACCCTTTAATCTAGTAATGCTCGATGGAATTGATAATAATGTTTGTCTTTCGGAAATCTCTAATGATTTTAAAGCATCCAAACCACTGTGCCATTCTTCATCCAAAACTGAATTATCAGAGAATTCGAACAATCTTAAATCTTCAACTGATTCGGGAATTGTTGGAAAGTAATCTTGATCTAAATACTCGCATATCGTTAGTTTTTTTATACTTTTAGGAAGATTTTCCAAGCTTTGGTTAAAATCTTGACCAAGTTTTAAATCTGTTAAGCTATCTGGAAAAACACCAGCCTCGATCGGGTGATCATATTGACTAAACAAATCAAAAACCAATACTTTTAAACCTGATGGTAGAATACCATTCTCGTCTATTGGCTGATTATAATGAATTGAAAGTTCAAGATGCTCTAGCTTCGAGGGCAATACCCCTTTTATTAGTTTCTTATTAAAAAGTATTCCCATTTTAAGGTGTTTTATTCCATCGGGTAAACTTCCAACAATCAGGTGTTGGTTAAAATAATTTGATAGTTTAAGACTTGTCAAGGTTTGAGGGAGTACTCCAGGATAAATAGTTTGATTAAATAAACCACCTAAGTCTAAGTACTTTAAACCTATGTTGGGTAGCACTGGCTCCAATAAAAGAGTACCATTTGATAGAACAATTGACTCTGACAGAGGATGATCAAAACTACCTAATTGAAGAGAATTTACCGTAGGTGGGAT